AATCTATCTCGAACCTAGTAATTTATCTTGTCCTACACTTCAGAACCCATACGCTCAAAATTCTCAAGTCTGCCATCATATCATTTTTCAAGATGAAAATTTCTAGACTATGAAAGAAATTAACGATATCACAATAATATATTGTGTTTATATTAGTTTTATCAATATATTCATTTTTATTTATATTTGTTTTTTTGAAAATATTCTTTAGGAATTAATAGAGGAATATTTGGAGCCTCATCTGACAAAAAATCTGAAATTGAGGAGTTGGTCAAGCAACTGGAGTCTCAAAATCCAACTCCTGAACCAACCTCATCTCTAGATAAGGTGATGTGGTAGTGTGCCATACCATAATAATAATTTTTTAAAAATCTTTTTTCTATACAAATCCAGTTGAATTGAATTGCTGTACATTTATGAGTGAAATAATAAATGATTTGGAACTCTTGGAATTGAATAGGTAGCTGGAAGTTGGAAGCTTATATACAGTACTATAAGCATTCTAGGATCAAGAAGAACAAAATTAGGATTAAGAGATTTTATCACACTTGGGGATTTGTATCAGAATATTAATACTTCTGAGGTATGTTTTTCATAAGATGCTATGGACTTCTGTTTTTTTTTAATTGTTTGTCTTATGGTTATATTTGGGCAAAACTTCACTTTTTGGGGACTTATTAGAGCAATTTGTTATTGGGTCATAAAAAGATAAAATGAGTTATTTATTCTTTTTTTTAATTTAATAAATAAAAACAATTTATTCCCACCCTTCTAAAAACTGTACTATAAAAAGTATTTAGGTTTTTTCCCATCTTAACTCTTTATTGCTACATAGCAACATGAGAAATTAAAATCTAAAAAAAAAAATCTCATGTTTGAGAAATTTTACACTTTCGGTATAACTATAAAATGAAAATTGGGAATTCTTAGGAACAAATGGAGTATATAGTTAAGAAATTTGTATTTCTGCAACATGATATATTACAGATTATTACTGTTTATTTGTTATTTTGTCATTTTGGACTAATTCAAAACATTTTAATGATGATAAATGGAGGGAAAAGCTGTGAATGTGATAAAGTTTAATGCCAGAGGATTAAGTTTATTGAGTGGAGAGCTAAGGATCGAAGCCAGATTCAAGATTGCATCCAAATCAGTTGAGATTTCTCTACCTTTTTTCAGATACTCATTTTTTGTTTATTTCCTCTTTCTGGTTTTTGATTTGATTTTTTTCACTGTAGAGAGTTGCCATTTTCTACAACGGTTCTGCAATAACACCAGACCAGGTATGAATTAACAATGTTTCCTTCATTGCGAAAAGGTAATTCTAATTAGTTTTCTAGGGGCAAAATTAGAACTATCATTGTCCAAAATAACTACACAGAATTTTCTTTTAAAATTGAAAATCAGATGAAAAAACTACTTGCCTACAAAAGTGGTAGTAGTATTTTGCTTCTAGTAGACGGGCGATGTGCACAAATAGCAGATGTAATGATCCGATCGGTTATTTTGAGTATTAGAGCCACGTCCCCTTTTTGATGCTTCTCACTTTTTTATTTTTTTATTTTAATGTTTTGTGATTTACGGGGATGATTGGTTTGGTTTCAAAAAAGTTTGATTATTTTTGGAAACTTAAGTTATCAGAGTAGAGTCAGGGGATAAAAATGTTATATGCACATTGTGTTTGTAGCAAATAAATGAATGCGCGACATGTGTGTTATAAAGTTAAGTAATAATGTATTTTCCACTTTAATATATGACTCTTATAATTAATTGCTATATATATGATGTAAACGCTATGTGCGGATTATCTTCCACAAAAAGCAAGAACAAGCATTTGTAAATTGAAATGCTCGGAATTTGTTAATTTTTTGTGTTAGTTTTAAGTTATAAAACTATTCTCATAAACTCAATTGTCGTGTCTTATATCATCCTTCAAACAAAAAATAGTGCAATTATCCTTTCAAAAAAAGGAAAACCATGATTTTTTGGACGGAGGAATTATACATTAAATTAGTTTAAAAATATTTTTTCCAGAAACAAAGAGAGAGAAAAATGTTAGGACCGAAAAATCAGGTGTCATGCAGAAGCTAGCAAAACAAACTTTCAACAACGATAAATAAGATAACAAAAGAGAAATTTACCAAAAGAGACACAAACATATAACGTGGTTCGGTCAACTGACCTACATCCACGGCGGAGATGAACAATCTACTATATAAAAAAGAGAGTACAAAATATCGAGAGAACAACCTCACGAAGAGGCAAACACAAGTGACACACTAACACTTGTCCCGTAAATTTCTCCCCCTAAACACTACTCTCAAACCCCATATGGCTACATTGTGGATGCTGCTGAATGAGAAGGAAGGATCCTCAATTTATAGAAGTCCAAACCTTTTCCTACAAGAAAAAAGACTAGCCAAGTATAGGAGAATTATAATTTCCTTCTACAAAAAGGAAAATCCAATTAAGGTAATTATATTGTCCTTTCCTTCAACAAATAGGAAAACCAAATATGGTAAGAAAATTATGGCAAACACCTAACAATTCTCCCCTCTTGGCCGGAATTTTCTGACAAAATAAACTTGATCCACCTTTTTCACATAGCTTTCAACAGGTCGCATCTCCAAATCTCCACCACAAAGTTTGTCTCAACATGCGTAGCACACCGGTCAAATTTCTCGGAAAAAAAATTACGATTATCGTCAAATATGTTGCAGCTAGAACTGAACCCGTCAAGATGAACCTATCTTGAACCTCGCTCTGATACCACTTGTTAGGACCGAAAAATCAGGTGTCATGCAGAAGCTAGCAAAGCAAACCTTCAACGACGATAAATAAGCCAACAAAAGAGAAATCTACCAAAAGAGACACAAACATATAACGTGGTTCGGTCAACTGACCTAATCAATCCACTATATAAAAAAGAGAGTACAAAATATCGAGAGAATAACCTCACGAAGAGGCAAACACAAGTGACACACTAATACTTTTCCTGTAAAGTTCTCCCCCCTAAACACTACTCTCAAACCCTATATGGCTACATTGTGGATGCTGCTGAATGAGAAGGAAAGATCCTCAATTTATAAAAGTCCAAACTTTTTCCTACAAGAAAAACGACTAGCCAAGTATAGGAGAATTATAATTTTCTTCTACAAAAAGAAAAACTCAATTAAGGTAATTATATTGCCCTTCCTTTAACAAATCGGAAACCAAATATGGTAAGAAAATTATGGCAAATATCTAACAATATGATGAAAATCCTTCGAATATGCTGACAAAGGCGGTGGTTGCAGATAAACATGAATTTTGTAGAAAATTGGCAGGCATGAAGCCTGTCAATAGTTCCTCTACTTAAAGACACCTTTGGCCCCTTGGCTGGAGGGGGAGTTTGTTGGGCACATGCCCATATTGTCCAGCCAAAGGTCCAATGGCCTAATCCTATTCTCTTTTGGTTTTCATTCCTATTCGAAATTGGATTCGGCGTTTATTTCTATTTTGAGTGAGTTTTGGCTTTAAGAGAAAGCACCACTCATGATCTATAAATAGGACAACCTTGGAGAATTATTCTATGCTCATTGATACAAGTCTTTGAAAGACTTAAGCACATAAGAGTGATTTTTGAGAGAGCTTTCATCAAGAGAGAAGAGAGAAGAAAAGTATTTGTTTTGCTGCAGATTTTTATTCCGACCAGCCAATTTCAAATTACATTAACAGATTCGTTAATCGTTGGATCGGGCTGAAATATTGACTGAGTGTTCGTAACATCTTGTTCTTAGATTTGTACGGTGGAGATCGGATTTGGAGGCTCGTAGCATCTGGACTTCGAGCCTCGAACATCAGCTTTATTTTGTGGATTCTCCTCTTTCTTCAATTGATTAGTTGTTGCTCGTGTTGCTATTGTTGCTCCATGTTTGACACTTGTTGTGTAACCAATTTGGAGAACTTTTGTAGTCCTCTTATTGTTATAGTGGAGTTTTTTGGATCTTTGTGATCCCGTGGTTTTTACCTTAGATTTGAAGAGTTTTCCACGTTAAAATTTGGTGTTCTTTATCTTCTTTATTTTTGGGTTTACCTCTTCCTCGACATATCAAAAAAAACTACTACTACTATTTAATTTTTATGCTTGCAATTGGAACAGTTGATGAACGTGTTTCAGAAGAACTACGATCTTCTTCTTGGCATCTTCAACCCTGAGGGCTGGCTTGAGATTACGTATCCTTTATTCGCTAACTTTAAGCTCTTATTATAATTCATTTTCTTTTTCATTTTCTATTATGTATTTTACATCACTAACTTAAAATGGTAGGTAGAGGAAAAATCTATTATCCTTAATCTGAAAAAATGCAGATATGTTGATGAGAATTTGAGGATAGGCAGAGATGACAAGGGCAACATTTTTGTTTTGGAGAGATCACAGGAGGATAAACTTTGAGAATTCATGATTTACATTAACCTAATTCTCCTGCCCTTTTTTCCCTTATTTATAATGTAAATTCCAATACACCCTTCATACATATATAGAAGAAATAATCCCACTTATAGATATGTTATCACAATAAACTGATACTTCCTCTGTTTTAAAAAAGAATGGACTTTTTACTATTTAAAGAGTTAAACAAGATTATTTTAATCATATTTTTTTCGCAAATAGTTATTGAATATTCTGAATTATTAATTATTGTGACTTATAGTACTTTTTATATAGTTTCTCAATATGTAAATTTTATTTCAATAAGCTTAGAGAATCTATATCAAAATTCACACAAAAAATTAGTCAATTTGACCCTTGTACTTTACAAAGGTTCAAACAAATTAAAAGGAAGGGAGCAAGAGAATTGTGCACGATTTCTTTAGTTCTAATGAGAAACGTTCTTAATTAATCAACCTAATAGTTTCCTAAGTATCAAAGTCAAAGTCTACATTGTGGAGATATAATTTTCTATTTGTAAGCCATACAACTAAAGTCTTTGAACATTATGATAAATGTAAATATGCTGAGGTCGAAAGCCGTGTTGCACGACGTTATTAATTAAGTACTTTGTTTCATATCTTTTTAAATTTTATTTCTTTGTCTAATTGATTTCTTAAAGTATTGATCCATCTTCCGAAGGAGCAAGCCGCCGGCAACTTTTGTGAAGGAGTCAATTAAGATGTAAAATGATAAATTATATATTATATAGTGAAAACATGGGAAACAATATCAAATTAGACAAACAAAAAACGTTTCATCTAAAAAGTTTCCTCCTAGTTTCACTATAAAAGGGCTAAATTTGTTTATGTACTGTCAATATTACTCAATTTTGTCCTTTATTACATTTTTGGTTCACAGGTATCGTTATTGCCAGCAAATCGTTCAAAGCTCCAACGTGAAATAGGTGGACTTCACTTCTCCAAATTTTTCGAGAAAAATATATATCCAAGTTTACCCCTCCAAGTTTGACACCAACAGGTGTCAAAAGCAAAAACGAGATTTTTCCTAATTGCAAGGGTAATATTAGACTAAAGTCTAACAACAAAAAATTGTTCAATTTCAAATAGTACATGAACAAATCTGACTGTTACTATATGTTACTCCTTTCATCTTAAAAGACGTTGACAATTCTAAGAAATATTATTGCAATTATTTTTCCTGATAAATTCCAATAATATTCTAATATTATTGTAATATTGCAATTACTATATTATTTATTTAAATAATATATTATAAATTTCAAAACAACTATAAATATAGTTAAAAAGATCTTAAAAATATTTGAATCTCAAATAATAATATTGACATTTACTAACAAGAAAGCTCTAATAGTTTTGCATCTACATTTACTATTTGTAGACAGTTACTGTTTTCAGTGAACTTTTTGATATTGTGGCTGAAAAGACAAATAAGCTGCCTTGATGCTGAACTTATAACCCTTGCTGCACTTTCCCAGTTCCACCTTGTAATTACTGTTTCATTAGTAGTTAACGAAAAAATGTACTTCTTGACTCGAGCAAATACCATCTCAGTGAAACATACTAAAAACAAAAACAGAAACCAAAGAAAATGAAACAGAAAAACAGGTAAAGAAAAAAAATAAAAGAGTGAAAAAGGGACAAACGGATATGTCTGGTCTGAATAAGCCGTTCACGGCGTTGCACCCAACATGCGGGGAAACACTAGTTTGTTCGTTTACTTGGCACCTTTACTTGTCACCTTTACTTTTTACGCCTTTTAAGAAATAATAAATAAAATGCATAATTTACTATGATACCCATATTAATTGATGCATATTTTATTAGATTTGAGAAAATGACTTGAAATAAGTAATAAATATTGTGGGTATAACATGAAAAAAAAATTATATTCTCTTGATATGCGTAAAGTGACAAGTAAAAATGAAAATCTATTTTTAATATACATGCCAAGTAAAAGTGAACGGAGGAAGTAGTTACTAAAGGATTATAATTTAATATATAAGCTATCCATTCATTAATGGATAAATCACGAAAAAAGTATATAGTATAATCGCTTCCAAAAATAATATCCGATAAATTATACAATATATTTTTTGTATATTAATATATATTTATATTTTATATATTTGGCTAGCATATATAATTATTTTTGGCGGACGACAAATGTGTAACTTGCCCTTCCATGACAATTGTGACAAAATCTTCAATTAAACCCAAATAAGAATGGGAAAAAGTCTATGAGAAATGGGCTAAGGGAACGAACGGCTGAGATTAAATCGAACACGTCAAAAGATAAAGAGGGGAGTACGTGCTTGAAAGGTTGTCAATGACAGGTTATGCACACTCCTCTCTTTTCCTGTAATGGTTGAAATTATTCCCACACCAATCTGGCATTTAAATAATTTGACAAAAGAAATACAAAAAAGTTTCTACTTTAAGCTTTCAGAAAATTGACAAAATATTCTTGGCCGGAATTATGGTTGGCATTCAGTAATGAGTTTACTTGCTTTCTCACTTGTACATTTCTTTTTGCTAATAACTCGCATTTATTTTACCAAGTTACCTTTCTTGATATCTCATTATAGGATTTTATTTTTGATAGTTCGATATTTCATTTGTATGAAAGAATGTTGAATTCTTGAATTGATTAGTCTGCTTATAAAAAGTTGTCGTTTTATTTTCGGGAGGCAAAAGCTGGTTCAGAAACTAATTGTAATCTGCAGTTGAAAATAGAAATTTTCACATGAAAATATCCCATTGTCACAATGCATAAGCTAAGGCAATTTGAACTCTATTGAATAGACACTAGGTTTACTACTATTGGAAGTATTGGAAATCAGTTAGTTATTAGTAGTTAGACGTAGACTAATTAGTTAGTTAATCTAATTAGTTAGGACTAAAGTGTGAATATTAGAACTTAGAAAGGTCATAGTTATTATGTCGTGTTGTTGTATATATCAGTTAGTTACTACAGTAATAAAGCAGTTGGAAAAATTCCCAAACACTGTCTTCTTCTTCTTCTTCTTCTTCTTCACGCTAAAGCTCTCTCTAATGGCAGATTTTTGACATGGTATCAGAGCCATGGAGACTGATTCGTGAAGCTTTTTACCGTCATATGACCAATTTCCTACTCAATTGAATTGAGCAGTGTTAATTTCAACAATTCTGTGCTTAATCGTGAAGATCGATCTCTGAAACTTGTGCGTCAATGGCGACTGAGAATATCGACCATACGCCTCCTCTTTTCCTTCAACCTTCTGATATACCTGGATTGATTCTAATTCCAATTCAGCTCATAGGTTCAGAGAACTATGGACTGTGGAGTATATCGATGCGACCTGCTCTTAAGACCAAAAGGAAGCTAGGGTTTGTAACAGGAAAATGTGCTAACGAGATGTACAAGGATGCTCTTCTGGAGGAGTGGGAGACTTGTAATGCGATAGTACATTCCTGGATAATGAACTCTATTTCGAAGGACCTGCTCAGTGGAATCATCTACGCATCGGATGCACATGTAGTCTGGGAGGACCTCAAGGAGTGTTTTGATAAGGTGAATCGAGTACGTATTTTTCAATTGCACAGATCGATCTCAAGATTATCGCAAGGATCGACTCTGTATCTGTCTATTTTACTAAGTTGAAGGAGTTATGGGCTGAATATGATGTTCTAGTGCCATTTCAAGACTTTGGTTGTCCTAGATCTAAGGAATACATGACTCATTTGCATCAACAAAGGGTGATGCAATTTCTAGATGGGCTAAATAATATATATGAGCAAGCTCGTCGACAAATTTTAATGAAAACTACTGAACCAACTCTTAATCAAGCATATGCACTAATCATTCAAGATGAAAGTCAGCAATCGATGGGAAGTATTTCTATGGCTGATAAAGGAGATCCACTGGCTATGCAAGCTGGTAGAGGACATGGGTACAGAGGAAAGAAACAATTCCCACAATGTGACCATTGTCGTATGAAAGGCCACACAAAAGAAAATTGTTTTAAAATCATTGTCTATCCGGAAGACTTTAAGGGAAGAAAACCTTTTCAACCTAGAGGAACACTTACTGCAGCTAACTATGTAGAGGGATCAATAACTCAACCTTCACAAGCAGCAACACAGTCTAAGGGAGACTACTTCTTCACAGAAGCTCAATATCAACAAATTTTGGGATTGCTCAACAACAAAGACTCACCAAGTGAAGTTACAACTCAGGCTAATAATGTAGGTAACGTTACTACACTATCCTCTAATGTAGAAGCTTTGAATGAGCTGAAAGTTTGATGGATTGTGGATTCAGGAGCCACACACCACATATCCTCTACATTAGACTTGATGAGTGATGTGAGCAAAATAACTGATAAGGGAAGAGAAAAAGTTACACTGCCAAATGGAGGTTGTGCAAAAATAGAACATATTGGGAGCTCTTTTTTGTCAGCTATTGATAAACTGAAAAATGTGCTTCATGTGCCTGATTTTAAGTTCAACCTAATGTCAGTGTCCAAACTAACCAGAGATCTAAGTTGTGCTGCCATATTTTTACTTGAACTGTGTGTGTTTCAGGATCTTTACAATGGCAGGATGAAGGGAATTGGTAAAGAAGATGAAGGATTATATGTGCTGAAGGGAAAAGGAATCAGACAACTAGCAGCTCATGTTGGTATGAAGGTCTCAACTGGAGATACAGAGGATCTATGGCATATACGGCTTGGCCATGCCTCTATTCCTGTAATGTAGCATGTTCTTTTCTTGCAGATAAAGTAGATAGTGAGATACAAAATAAATGTTATGTTTGCCCCTTGGCAAAACAGTGTAGGTTAAGCTTTCCAGATAGTGAAAAAAAGGAGTAATAGACCTTTTGAACTTGTTCACATGGATGTTTGGGGACCATACAAGAAGGCAACTCATGACAGGAAACACTATTTCCTTACAGTTGTTGGTGACTTCTCAAGGGCTACTTGGATTTTTTTGATGCAGTTTAAGAATGAAACTATCATTTTCTTGAAGCAATTTGTGCATGATTAAAACATAGTTTGATACTTGTGTTAAGATTTTAAGAACTGATAATGGGACATAGTTCTTTAATAAACAGTGGAGTGATCTTTTGAGATCACAAGGTGTTATTCATCAAAGTAGCTGTGTCTATACCCCTTAAC